CCCCCCCACCGCCACCACCACCTTTGAAGGAGAGGAAACCAGCTAATGCCAGACAGCCCACACGTTTCCAGAATAGTCTGAGACTCTCCCCCTTGCTCTGGCCCGTTGCGGCACAAGACATACGCTCCACCGGAGATTAACTTTTCCCCATCAGTACGACCTGTGAAATCTGTGCTAAACAAATTATTTAGGACATTTTGACTGCAGTTTTACGACGAACAGAGGGGGAAAAAAGCCATTTCTCAAGATGCACGGTTGGCGAAGTTCTGTCAGGTTTCTGCCAGCGCTGTCATTTAGTATGGGGGGGGGGGGGTGTACCTGCTCCTCTCCCTCTCGAAACGACACAATTTAACACGCAGGACCCAGCGTTTCCAGTTCACCGGACGCTTCTGCTCCGCTCCACGGTAACATTTCACCTGGGGCCCGCAGGGAGATCCGTGTCGCTGGGAGCGGCATTGGCAGACAGGAAGATGGCGGCCGGCGTTTTAAATGTCATACTGGTGTTTTCAGCACGTCGATATTAGCGGCTGTATAAAATTACTGGAGTATAAAACCGGATGTGGGGGTGGGGGGGCCTTCAGCCACATCGGGGGCCCCCTCACCCCATCAGAGGTACCCGCTTGGCCAGCCACCGGCACCACCTCTGACCTTGCCGTGGGCGAAGGGCATCTGGCAGTGTCTGCTGTGTGCGGGCATCTGCCTGTCGCCGTGGCAGCGCCATCTGCCCGTCGCCATGGCAGCGCCAGGGGTGGCCCAAATACCAGCTTCCCTCAAAGATAGCAACCATCTCGAAAAAGGAAAAGGGAAAAAAAAAGTCTGCACGTGACCTTAAAGTGCCGAAATGTCTCCTCCTCAGCTTTCATGCGTTTCCCAGGTTTGACTGGGTGTGGTTAGGAGTCATTAACTGCATTAAGAGACTCGGCCCCGGTGAAGAACCACTCTGCGTGTGTGTTGCACTGTGGGGACCAAATGTCCCCACAACGTGGTTAAAACCTGTTTGACGTCGTGGGACCATTTTTTTCGGCCCTCACAAGGGGAAACTCAATTTAATAAAAATCTGTGACTGCAAACAAATAAACTAAAAATGTCAAAAGTATTTCGTTTGGTTACTTACAGTTAGGGTTACTGCTGAGTAGGGGTTACGATTTTGGGATTGGGGTTTTTCCCCATAGAAATGAATGGACGGCCCTCACATAGATACGAAGACGAGTGTGTATGTGAGGCCTCGCTAACGCGCTCGCTGTTCTCGCATCACAGCAGCAGCGTTCCTAGACTCCGGACCTGGAAACACAAAGCCGGCACGTTCAGCTCGCATCCTTACGCGCGTTACGGGGAAGTGAGAACTGCCACCGTCATTCGGGATGCGTGTCAGAGGCAGTGAGTCTAATAAGAAGGTGGTCGGTTCAAATCCCTTCGGGCCCAAGCTAGGCATTTACCCCCGAATTTACCACCCTGCCTACTCATTTGTACGTCATTTTCGATAAAAGTGTCTGCTAAGGGAATATACTGTACTGTAATTAGTACACAAACACTAAATAATTATTCAGAGCATTCGATTAGGGCTTGATGTGATTGGTTGTTTGACTGTCAGGGCTGCCACTCATTGGACGACAGAGTCTCTTTCACACCCCTCCTCCAATCCCATGGGGAAAGCAAAGGTAACTGAGCCCATTTTTTCACGGTCTCCCTTTCTCGTTAATTGCTCTCTCCCTCTCTCAGTACTGCCGCTCTTGAAAACATAATGATCTGCTGTTGGCCAGACTGTCGCACGCCAACATGAGATGGCCTCTTTTTTTTTTTTTTTCTTTCCCACCCACCTCTAACCCTTCTGGGTTTTTTTAATTTTAATCTCCACGCCTGGCAGTTATATTTTATCAGCCCGGTCCCTCGACGGCCAGACGGCACTGTAAATGGGCGTCTGGTCTCTCTTTCGGGCCTTGGCAGGTAGCGAGGTTAGGGTTATGGTTAGGGGTTAGGGTTAGGGGTTAGGGGTTAACCCTAACCCTTCCAAAGTCTTCCTTTCACACATCCTGAGTCAGGTGACGGCTGCAGCACGGCGACTATTTTCAGTTCTGGGTCACATCAGATAAGATTCCTTCCTGAAGCAGATCCAGTGTTTCCACAATCTCTTCTTTTCCTCACTCTAGAACCATCTGCAGGAGTTTTTTTGTTTTCCACCTTCCCTCCCTCACTCACCCCCCCCCCCCCCGGTCTTCCCTGAGGCCGGCTGTTTATACTTCAAAATGACTTCCTTCCTTCCTTTACAACCAGACCCCCTAAGGTCGGCAGTGGGGGGAGGGGTGTGCGCTTAAAAGTCTCCTATGTAATTGCAGTCTTCCTCCAGGACTGTGTCTATGGTGGCTTCCTGGGTGGGGTAGTACCCACTGCGCCCCCCCCACCACACACACACACACGCAAGAAAACACAGAAAGACGTTTGTGTTTTTATCTGTAAGGACTTCCCAGTTTAACGTAATTAATGATCCTCAACCCTCATTCCTCTTCAAAATAAAGTTCAACGTTCATAAGAACAAAGTTTACAGCATTAAAGTGGTAAAAATGAAAAAAATCGTTTGTTCTGTGGCATTTTTTATTTATTTTTTTCGCTATTGTTGCTGGAGCATTCCCCTAAAACTTGTCCTTGTGAAGCTGGGCACGCACACACAGACCTGTACTCATATCTTTGTGGGGACTCTCCATTCATTTCTATGGGGAAAGCTCTAATCCCAACATGATGCCCTTAACCCCTACCCAGCCCTAACCTTAACTATAAGTAACCAAACTAAATATGAGACCTCTGGCATTTTTAGTTTTTTTTGATTGCAGTCACAGATTTTTATAAAATTGAGTTTCCCCTTTTGGGGACTGAAAAAATAGTCCCCCACAACATCACAATAGCAGGTTTTTTTTATCACATACCCCCCCCCCCCACACACACACACACAACTCCCACACTGATAGTGATATTGGGGAAGTGGCCACGGTCCGACAGACCAGGCTGCTAAAAACACAGCCCCCATCGGGCCAAGAGCAACAGCAGCCTGGAAGCCGCAGGCTGCCTTGCGGACGGCTATTTTTAATCCACAGACATTCTCCGACGATACTTGGATGCGAGAGTCTCTGAGCTTTCCTCAGCTGTGGTTACTGTTTGACTAAGCCATGACGTCCAGCCCAAGGCCTGGCCCGTGCCCGATGTCTGCCCGGTGTCTCCCCGGCCCGTTATCCGGCCTGGTATGGGTCACCTCACCCACGTCTATACCAGACAGAAAAAGCATCGTGCTCGGCCCTGGATTAATGCAGTGAGAGCGGCGTTAACGCTGGAATTGGGGCCTCTCATGGAATCTCCCAGCACCCCATGGGCACGGGACATAGCCCAAGAACAACTGGAACGCAAGGCTGGTTTAGTGATAATGAGTGTGTCCAAGTGTGTCCGTTCTCTAAGCATTTTATGTGGTCCCAGTGGGGTTCAAAGATGCCCCCCCTCCCACTCCATCCCCACTCTGTCAACCACAACCTATACATCTGGACCAGGGTCACCCCTCTGCTTTCTGTCCCACCCAACTGATCACATGTCCTCCTTCCTCATAGGCTAAGGCAGGGGTGGCCGATCTTATCCAGAAAGGGCTGCTGTGTATGCGGGTTTTCACTGCAACTCCCTAATTAGATTACTCATTAGAGGACTGATTGGCTGAGGAGTCCTCACGCCTGGTTTTGTACAGCTGACTTACAGGTTATCCCAAAAACCTGCATACACGCCGGCCCTTTGTGGATAAGACTGGCCGCACGTGGCTCCACAAATTAGCAGCCGAACCTGTGGGCCGGTTTCCACCCAGGTGCATCAGCTCAGGAAGGGAAAGGCATCGCATCGACGTATATGTTCGACAATGTTTAAAAAAAAAAAAAAATTAAGACAGGCAGCTCAGGTGGGCAGCCTCAAGGGTCCTCGCAAGCAATGATTCCACTTGTGCTGTTGCTATGGAGACAGGGAGCAAGTCACAAAGGAATTTTCTTTTTTTTTTGGGCTCCACAGTGAAGGCCATGTTCAAGACACTGTTAGCATTGTGTCACTCAAGACTCCAA